CCACATCTGGATTGCATTCATGAGCCAGAAACTGCTCTGGCTCATGAAACCAATCCAGATGATGCTCGAGCCTTTGCTCCAGTGAAAGCTCCAGAAGATCCACCGGTGCCAGGGCCCTTGCTCCAATGAAAGCTCTCCATGGTTTTGATTCCACATGCTCTAACCACGGATGGCGATCAGTAGCGGGACCATACCATGGAGGTGTTCCTCCCTACCTTCATGAAACATCCTCTAACACCTAGGATGAGTGGACATAGCTGTGCCTAGGTGATGGCAGAAGCTGATCTTGAAGGCCTTCTCCTAGTGCCGCCGGAGTCGATGGAGGTCTAGGGTAGCCATGGCGATGGGAGACTAGGAGCAATGGAAGGATTTCTTTGGTTTGTCCGATGGTAAGGGAGGTAGAAGGTTGGGATCGGAGTGCGCATAAGAGGCTCGCCTTACATTTGCTTAAATAGCCCCACCTCAAAACACGAGCGGGGAAGGAACCATCAAGATCCATGACTTACGCGGTCACCCACGTGGGTCACGAGCGACGGCGCGGTGAAGATGATGGGAAGTGGAAAATGAGGTGGTTTACATTCACCTGCACATTTCAAACTATCCCCGCTCATTGGATCTCGAGTGATCTTAGTGGAACTTTCATTTTCATTAAATAGGCCACGTCTTAGTGGGACTTTCATTTTCATTAAATAGGCCGCGTCTCCCACGTGATCTTAGTGGAGCATGCTTCTCCCGGAACGACGTTGGAAGTTGGACAGAGAAAAATGACTACACCACACGGCTAGTTGTGAGTTCCCATGCCATTTCGTAGAGGGTATTTAGCCCCCCGCTCAGCTGCCTCCCCACGCCATAGCTCCATCACACTGCCGCGAGCCCTCGGTAGGCCTCGTCGTGCTCTACAACATGCGACGTCGACGCCGGCAATCATGGTAGCAAAACGGCACCGCACGTTGCTGACGGCGCTCCCTACTGACCTGGCCATTGAGATCACCGGCCACCTCTTGTGACCTTGAGCAGCCCATGGACGACCTCCGTAGCCTAAGGGCAAGCTGCTCGTCCATGCGCAGCATTTGCGGCAACCCCACCGTTGGTCAGTGTGGGTTCACTGGTTTGGTTCAGATGCGGACGACGTGGGATGACCCCGTCGACTACGAAGCCCTCCTTGCTAGCCTAATCCAACTCGACAACCTAGAGAATTGTTTCTTCACCGAGATACAAACCTTATTTATGAAAAACCATAGCCCCCCACGATGCCTCAATGATCTCGCCCATGCCACAGATGGCAGGCACAATCTGGCGGCCTATTTGGTCACCCTATTGCTCTATAGGCACAATGGCACTGCTGGCGACGACGACACAGCGAGGCGGTACATGAGACGGATCGAGGGTGAGGAAGGATCACGGGTGGCGGCGGCGGGCGGTGGTGGTGAACCAACTAGTAGGTGGCTAAGCAACAATGAGTGTGTGCTATGCCGCCGCCCGGTCATCAAGCTGATCTACCAATCGACGTGGGGCGTGTTGTCATTGCTGCCACCGGCATAGGTGCACGGCGATCTTCCGTGTCGCTGGCGGCATCTGCAACAATATTGTAGACGAATTGGAACTTAGGGCTCTGTATTGCAGCGAGGACTGTAGGCTTCGCCAAGAAATTCATTTTTTCGAATGCCAATTTTGATTAAGGGACTAGTAATATAATTCACTCTTTAGTGTATTCTGGCATTTGAAATTTGTTCTCAAATATAGTGTATTCTGTAGCTTTTGATTTCCTGTTGTTTTTCCTTAATTAATGCATATAAAAATATGAATGTGAGTTGCATGAAAATGGCAATTGTTAAAAAAATGAAATGATACACGCAGATCTCACACGTGGGCTTGGAAATTGACATGAAAGTGTTACCATCCACACCATCTCAGGCGGCGGTGAAGACTACCGGCGGTGGTGAATGGGTGCTACAAAGATATTACCACCACCTAATAATGACAGCCGTGTCATATGGTGTCATACATGTCAAAGGCGCACAAATGGAACATTCTAGGCAACAGTAAATACAGATATGTTCAAAGTTAAAACTCATAGTAAATAGTAGTAGTATGAACAATTTTTGTACAGGATGCAGAGGTAGATTATAATCCAACTACTCGTGGGGAGCGGTAAGAATGATGTTTGGTACATCCATCACGGCCAAGACGGCCACGGCCGCGGGCTGAAAGTAGATGACGAGGTCATCTCGATCGTGAACGGATGACCGTGGTGGGAACCCCGGCTCTAGCCCACACAGGTCCCCACGCCGAAGCTAGGCGGCGGCCAGGGCCCCCACGACACCTTGGTGAATGCCGTAGTACGTTGGTCACCTCCACAACCCGCGCCAGTAAGGCGCGAAGACGCTCCTCCACTGTGGGTCGTTTTGCGCACGAATTCGGCGGCCGGTTGGCCTCTCCAGTCACATCGTGGCTTAATGGCGCCCACCACGAGCAGTCATGCGCTGTGGAATGCGAGCTTAATGTGTAAGGCTTCACGCCGGTGCATGGGCAACCGTCGCTCTGCCTTCCCTCCAATCACTTCACCTGCCTAGGTGTCCGTCACGGTTATAAATACGCTAGAGTGGTACGCGAGGGAGGCATTTGCTTCAGGTCGCTTGCTCCACCACTTCCTTGTTCTCGTTCTTGCGCGCTTGCAGCCTCTTCTTCGCCCATCGAGATAGATCACGGCAAGCATCCTCGAGAGGAGTCACCGGAGGCCGAGGTCGTTGCCACGTCTCCGAGCCTACCTGCGCGGGCAAGGGTAAGTTTTCGAGCAATGTTTGAGATTACGATTGACCTACGTTGATCGGTGATGTTTCTAGGGTTGTTTCCCACGCCGCATCCGGAGGGTCCGCCAAGCTTCCCGTGCTATGACCCCGACCGATGATGGGGTCGAGTTCGTCCTCGTCGTCATCTTCCTCAGATGACCGGTGGGAGTTCCATGAGCTCGTCCACGCGGCAGACGAGGCCCACCAGTGCTACTCCGATGCCACCCGTGAGGTGGGTCGGCTGGAGCGCTACTTCGACAGTGTTGGGGTGGCGCTCGCCGCCTCGGAGGTGGAGACTGCCGCTGCGCAGATGGCGATCGCCAACGCCCAGGCCCGTATAGTGGGTGAGGGTTCTCTTTGTCTTGTCGTCGTCCTATCTGACATTCGCAGCTTCTAATCTTCTCGTCGTCTTGTTGCCAGCGCTGGAGGAGCAGCTGACGGCCTCTCACCACGAGATGGAGGAAGCCCATCTCCAGGAGTTTCTCCTGATGGAGGACCGCGAGCGGGCTATGGTGGCGGGAATCCAGCAGGGAGCCAGCGCCGCCCTCGCCGCCATGTAGCTCCGCACCGGCCAGGACTTCCGCCGGGTGGAGCCTGGGTTCCCGGACCACGCCGGGCAGGCGAAGCGGGCCGAGCTGGTTGGTGACTTTGCCGCCGCGGCGGCTGCCGTCGTGGCCGCCATGAATGTGGAGGACATCCTTCGTGGCAGTGGCCAAGGGCCTTAGGTTGTACCTAGCTAGGGCCTTTTTATAAAGAAATCTTCTTAGTTCGTGTTTCTTGATTTATTTTGTTTTGTGCACCGCCATCTTGCCATGCTTGCCGATGATTTGATCGTTCGAATGCCGTAGTCATGCCCCTTGCCTAGGGATCGACCCACGAGGCTTAGCCCAGTGCAACTTCATTTTTGTGACCGAAGTGTTGTAGGATAGATCCGGCGGCATCGCGTCCTCCATCGACCTCTTTCTTTAGGTCGACCTACCCGAGGGGAATGGCCTGAAGTCCGGTTATGACTCCGTGGAATGGAGCACCGGCGGCGGAATGTGGTCGGAGTGATCCTTTCTGTCGAAAGTGATCGCAGTCTTCGACCATTTCAGGAAAGTCGGGGCGGCGTCGCCCAGGGTGGCCTCGTTGACCTCCCTGTCTGTGAGCTTTTGCCGGCGTTTGGACTCGTGCGTCGCCGGCCCACCAATGATCATGAGGCACTTTTTGGGTCAGGATACGCAACCCTTTTATCGAAGGATATATAGGTAAGCTAGGTGTCCGTTGGATTTCCCTACGATTGCACCGAGCGAGAGCTAAGCAGAGTTAAGGTGAGACCACGTCTCCCATGATCTTAGTGGAGCACGCTTCTCCTAGAAACGGCGTTGGAAGTTGGACGGAGAAAATAGACTGCACCACGTGGCTCGTCGATCTGAAGGGTCTCGTCCACCCGGTCGCCCGCCGCCGGAGTAGAATAAAAATAGGAATGTGAGTACCACAACGACATGAGCCAACATTTCGTTAAAAAATAGTAAATCTTTATTCATAAGTCCAGTAGGTTACGTAATACTTTCAAAGGTGTATAATAACGAAGATGTGCATCGAAGACTAATGAGTGTATAATAACAAAGACTTATCGAGTACATAAAACAACATATACTCAACTGCGACGTCGCAAAACTTCCACTAACATCACCTAAGAAAGGGCATGAGCAGAGTCATAGTCGTAGGCTGCTCCGACGAAGACAGCCGACGTGACACCCACCTGGCAAAGCTTCCACTTGCATCCAAGGGTTGCAGTGGAAAGCACCAGGAGACCGCGTGTCCGACTCTTCCACGGATTTTTTTTTCCCCTAGCGTGTAAACCAGTATAAACCACGGTTCCACAACGGACAGAAACGTGGGCCTCCTTACGGCCCGCATGGCTGAGGTTACGGCCCCCGGCCGCAGCGAAACGCCAGCCGCCTCTCTTGTCCCCAACCACCGTTGGGAGCCGGCACACTTCTTCTTCCCGCCGCGCCGCCACCCCACCAATCCCAGTTCCCAACCAAACCCCTCTCCCTCCTCCTAGGCTCCAATCCCCGCTATTTCTCCGCCGAATCCCACCCATCCCCCGCAAAATTTTCCTGTGATCCACCGCGCTCTCGATACCCTCTCCGTGGCGCGCATCCCTCTCTCGCCGCGGCAGAATCGTTTACCCGTCCGAATTCGACCATTCCTCTCCGAGCGAGCATGAGCATGGCGTTCTCCTGCGCGGGCGCGCGCGTCCACGGCCGCACCGGCGTCGGCGGCGCCAAATGCCGCCCCGGCGCGGCGGCCCTGCTCGGGCGGCGGGGCACCTGCTTCCGCCCGACCGCCCGGAGGTGGAGCACCGCCGCCCCCAGGGGAATCCGCGCCGACCTCCCGCCGCCGCCGCGGGCGAGCGCGGATGGCGGCGCCGCCACCTCCGGCCCGGCGGCAGTCGCCGTCCCCGAAGCGGGGGACGCTACTGAGCAGGTGGCCGCGGTTGCTCAGCCTGTTGTGCTCCCGGAGAGGCTTGACGTCGATGATGGGGCTGATGGGAATGGCAAGCTCCCGCCCGCCGGCGGCGGCGGCGGTGGGGACGGGGAGAATGGCGGCGGTACCGGCGGTGGGGGTGACGGTGACGACGGAGAGGATGAGTTCGGGCCCATCCTCAGCTTCGACCAGGTGGTCCAGGAGGCGGAGAAGCGGGGGGTTAGCCTGCCCAGTTTGCCCGCGGACATGGTTGAGGCGGCCAAGAGCGTTGGGATTCAGAAACTGCTGCTGCTGAGATACCTGGACATGCAGGTCTTTTTAAAGAGTTATTGTTATTGTACTTGTATGTTTTCTTGTTTGTATGTTAATTTGATTCTGATGTGCCTGACATGTAATTGTTTTGCTGTTTGGATTTCAAAGGCGTCGGCTTGGCCCTTGGGACCTGCAATTAGGTCCTGCTCGCTTCTCCGGAATAGGATGCTGGTTGATCCTGCATTCCTCTTCAAAATCGGCACTGAGGTTGGTTCAGTTGCTTACTTCAACTAGTATTGTGCATTTGTGCAATGCTACTGACAATGGTCCATCGGTTCAGTCTTGACTGTTTGCTCCATGGTTATGTTGCAGATAGTTATCGATACGTGTTGTGCGACATTTGCTGAGGTTCAGAAGAGAGGGGAGGAGTTTTGGTCAGAGTTTGAGCTGTATGCAGCAGATATGTTGGTAGGAGTAGTTGTTAATGTAGCTTTAGTCGGCATGTTGGCGCCATATGCTCGATTTGGTAGCAGATCTGCATCAGAAGGTCTCCTTGGACGCGTTAGGCATGCTTATGATGCCCTCCCAAGCAGGTTTGTTGTCAACAGAAAATTATCGTTCAAAGTTATATCTAAAGCATACCATTCTACTAGTTGTGTGAACCTATTTGGACTGTTGAAATTTGCTCAACCTGGAAAAATAATTACTCGAAACAGATAATTATTAGAAGAGATTTTGTAGATCAGTAGATGAGTTATATAGGGGCACCAAATACTGCTACCATGCTTGTTTAATTCTTTCTTTTTTGGTTGGGTGGGGGTTGGTCATTTCCTGCATTAGAGTAAAATGACATCTATGCGGGATCAATAGGAGCATTTTTCTATGCCACTGGATGGTACACAATGTTTGAGACCCCTGATCTGCTGTGATAAGAATAAACCATGAAAATGTTCACAGAATAATTCCGTATCATTTTTACCATTATCATAATTACCAGTTGGACATGCTATTTTTTTTACTTAATGACAAGGAAAAAATATTTAAAATATGGAAATTATTAAATCTGGAGGCTGGAGCTGAAATGCTGAATCCTTAGCTCCTACTTTTGCACTATTGGAAATACATGTTTACTCGCATACTTCAGATTTATTCTGCGGTGAACTTAAGGCCTTGGCAAACATGTTTGTTAGCTTATTTTTTCGTAAGTCAGCTATATATAATTGATTGTGAATTTGTCATGAATCATTGTAACATGTATGTTGGAGCTCTGTTTCCAACTTGTAGCATATATAAGCATTTATGTTCAGGTGTGGAGTTCGGCCTTTTGTAGCCTGAACAAGCATGGTGTGCCCCAATGTTGTTACTCTAAACTGGAGCATAGGAGTCTTTGGAGGACAAATAATACTACTACCAAGGGCCTATATTCTTTTTTGCATAACCTGTTGAAATAGTGATCTCGCTCCTCCAAGCCCTGTCTTTCATTTCCATTACTTGTTGCATGATTGATTTATAGTTTTACCACTATCATATTCTGGCAACGTAGTTCATTTTTTTCCAGTACTGCATTCAACCATTCATTTGGGTAATGGTATCAAAACTGATTCTTGCAGCGTTTTTGAAGCTGAAAGGCCAGGATACAAATTTTCTGTGCAGCAACGGATAGGAACATACTTTTTCAAGGTAACTTTGTGTTTAGTGAAATACTTACTATTTTCCCCAGAAATGTTATCAACCATAACTATCTCTTTAAATGTCTGAAATATTATTCGTCAACAGGGAATATTGTATGGTTCTGTTGGATTCTTTTGTGGTCTTGTGGGACAAGGGATTGCTAATTTGATAATGACAGCCAAACGGTACGTTCTGTTGTACTATATCTGGTAATGTGCATGCTTACCATGTTCATAGTTTTGCTTCCTCATCTTGTTATTCTGTTTAACATACATATATGTTAGTAAGAAAATCATGTCTCAAGGCTCATGAAGCTAATGTTTCCTTTACATTATCTTGCTATGGAATGTACTTGAGTTTCGACGCTGTAATATGGTGTTTAATTACATGACAACTGGCTGTTTGTTCTAAACCTTCTACATTTATAGAGGGTCTATTTCTGATTTCTTGACCAGTGTGAAAACTATTGCCTATTTCGATAAGTATGTCGAGTGTTAGGTGATAGCTAAAGATTAAGGTGTGTATGGTGATAAAACTTAGCAATATCTTTCTCAAATTGTTTGTGTACTATTCATGAATCTCAGATTTAGTTATTTCCTTCAAATTTGTACCTCAGGAGTGTTAAGAAGTCAGAGGATGATGTACCTGTTCCACCTCTTCTCAAGACTTCTGCTTTGTGGGGTAAGGCTGTCCAGACAATTTCTTATCACAATTTCATATCTCAATTGTTTGCATGTCGACATCACTGGATTAAAGTTCCTCCTTCATCCCTGTATGGTTGAATTCAATACATGTAGGTTTCCATGTGAATTTTTACGCTAAACACCTATATGTTACGGATACATGATCATATGCAAAACTTTAGTTTGCAATAAATATATGCATGTTAGTGTCTAAATATTTTCAGAACAAAGGAAAAAACTGATTTCTTTCATCTTGCTGGATCCTGCATGCATAAGTGATTTCATACCTTCCTGTATTAAATGTTTCTGAACTGCTTATTTTGTTTGTGTGGTTGATTTTGTTTTGAATACTAATAGTGGATTAAGACTTGTGAAGCTATAGTGAAGGTTATATTGAGCGAGCGATAATATTTCTATTCAATATCAAAGCTATGTGGTATAACTATGATCAGAGCAATTGATATTTAGCAGGTGTCTGCACGATGCTATGTCATTGTCTCACTGTTGTGGTTCAAGTGCATCTGATTAAAGTTTCCTATGATAAGATAATTACAAGTTTACATTGTTGTACCTGTAGTCAAAGTCTGCAGTTCTTGTTTAGCTAAGCTTTTTTACTGTAGCCAATGAAGGTAGGTTGATACTCTTAGAGTTTTGATAATGATAGATAGGTTTTGTACCTCACTATTTCCTGATTGTATCTTCTGAAACCCTGTAAAGTGTAATGAATAATGGACCTAATTTTTTCAGGTGCGTTCCTTGCTGTTTCTTCCAACACACGGTACCAGATTATTAATGGATTAGAGCGCCTGGTTGAGGCTTCACCTGTTGCGAAGCGTGTCCCAGCTGCTTCTTTGGCATTCACTGTTGGTGTGCGGTTTGCCAATAACGTGTATGGAGGAATGCAGTTTGTTGACTGGGCAAGAATGAGTGGTTGCCAATGAGGTGTGAGCTTTCATTTTCATGGTCAGAATCTTTACATTCCTTCTGCTATACATGTTTTACCCCATAAATGTAGCTCTCTTCTCTTGATGTAGCCAATGGCTAACATTATGCCAATTACGCAGATGCTTCTTATTGCAGTCACCATTCACTGTGATGCCGTATTGCTGTTGCTTGCTGTCTGCTATTTGTTATTCCGCCCAAATTCGTCGAATTTTCATCATGACAAAGTCAAAGATGTGGTATAAATATCTTGAGGGCAGAGGATCTCAAAAATAAATGTGGAGACTTCTTAGAGATTGAGGAGTTTAGCATTAGGAGTGCTTAGGGCAGGGTAGAACCAGAAGAGATTGAATTGCTTGTTTTGTTGTTGAAGATTCACCGTCTTGATTTGGATAGTTGAATCAACTAGCTGTACTTGGCTGTTCCCATATTTTGATATGTTATATGGATTACTTTGAAAGTCCACAATCGTGTCACTTATTTATTATTAGTTTTTTATATGGTACTAGTGTGTATCACAAAACTCTACGGTTTATGTTTCACCAGAAACCTAATACGTGGGGTCTAAATTACAAGATGACATGGCACTTATGTTGAACCCAAAAGTATACTCGTGTGGATTGACATAAGCGCCACATGATCAGCTGGAAAGATGCAATAGTTTTGTTATTCCCCATCCCATGAACTGAATGATTGTTTCTCAAGTTGGGATTGCAGAGTTTTCAAGCGCAGGTGCGTCTGTAAAAACAAACAAAGTCGAGAAACTCAGCTTAATTTGTTTCAGTCATTTGTATGTCTTGCAGCAGGTTGGCTAAAGAGGTGGGCTATATGTGTATATGCAAGAGAAGATGAGAACCATGGTGGCCATGGCCTCTTTAGACCGAGAGAAATGTAGTGATAATGCAAAGGAAAGGGCCAAACCATGTAAGGGTCTGAAAGAGCAGAGAAGGTGCGCCGTGCTCTTGCGCAAAGATCACATGACTGATGAAGTGATGAGTTTACTGAGCACCTGGGAAAGGGGCTGAATGATGGTCAATTCTGTGGAGCAGGAGCAGGGCACTTGGCAAATGTACTGGATGCTCCATTCGTGAAGCAGAGTCATGCGTTCGGCTACAAATCTCTCAGTTGACGCTGGCACATGGGAAACGGATGCACAAAAATCTGAAGACAGCAGTTTGTCGTTCCATCGACTTTGAAGGTTGTGATGCTTGTGGCACGAACTGGTTTTGAATGATTTGGTGTCCTTGCTGACTACTACTGACCTTGTTGGCCCATTGGCCTAGTAGAATGGAGTGCATTTGGAGAAACAGAAAAACACTGACAAAGTTTCGCTTGATAATGCAGATTTTTCGACCTTCCATGCTCGCAATGCAGATAACCTCAGACCTGGGACTGCTACAGACCTAGTAGTTGAGATCTGGGACAATTTCATAACTATCAAGTCGAGAGACCAACCAGCAGCTGAGCTCCGTCTCATTAACTGCTTCAGTCATGGTACACAACTTGGCATGCACAAGTACAAAGGCCTATGTTGCAGATTCAGATTCACTTGCTCGAAACAAGCACACTCCAAAACACAATCATAACATCACACGGATTTATATATTTTTAAGGATCTGTCACATTCAGTTATTTTTGTCCCTGCTATCAACTGAATTTTTCTCATACACTTACACTATCTTATACTTATATTTACATTAAATTATTACTATATTTACAATGACTTGTTCAGTGTAATTTAATGGGCATAGTGGTGTAATTTGAGAATAACACAAATATATGCCAATTTTTTCAGAAAAAATTACCAATTATTTATATGGATTCAAGATATCAGAGAAATATATATCAAATTGTTCATAAATATCATCAAATTGTTCATAAATTATTCACAAATTTCAGAAAAAATACAAATATACATGTAGGCTGGGCGTACACGGTACATACTACGTGTATTCCGTTGGAGCTATACACGGGCGTATACAGACCAACCACGGACGTACGTGCGTGTGTTCTGGACGACCGAGACCTGAAACGCTGGAGCACGAGCATGTGGTGGGGACCGGCAGCCCGTCTCGCACGACCAACTGACGGAACACCACGACCGTGCGATTCCTGATTTGGCGGCCACAAAATCGCACGTCGCGGGGGCCTAAATCGCAATTCTGATTTTTAATCTACAAAAGTCAGCTGCATTGCTGCCCTGGAACTGGAAGTCTCTCAGCATCACCACCCATCAGACAAAATCCGACTGATGAAACACTGGCGATTTGGTGCGTTCTTGATCTGCTAGCGACTAGCGTGTGAATGCGTAGAAGACGGTGCCGATGTAGATGAGCATGGCCGAGGGGACGAGGGTGACGAGCGGCACGACGGCGGCCCCACCTGCGCCGCACCCGAGTCTGCCGAGCTTCACCTGCACCACGTTGATGAGCGCCATCATCAGGAAGCCGCACCCCGCGACGGAGCCCACGGCGGGCGCGAGGATCGCGACGCGGTTGATCCGCGCGGTCCGGCCGACGGCGGAGGCGCGGCCGCGGTGGTGGGGGTAGGTGCGGACAGGGCTTGAGGCAGAGCGCGACGAGGCTGGAGAAGAGGAAGCAGGCGAAGGCGAGGACGTGGAAGGAGACGAGGTCGGACTCGGCGCGGTCCCCCGCGGCGCAGGGGTTCCCCGTGCGCGGGTCGGCGCCGTCCGCGAGCCCGGGCCCATCGGAGGACGGCCGCCACGCCAGGCCCAGGAACGCGGCCAGGGTGAAGAGCGAGTTCACGTTCACGATGCCGTCCAGCGCCATGATGTGGATGCTGGTGCCCCGGCCGCCCCCCGTCGCGACGTCGCCGCCGTCCATGGCTGCTTTGCTGCTGCTTTGGATTGGGAAAGAAAGGAAGGAAGGAAGAAAGAAAGAAACGGAGGTGAGGTGGGTTTGGGGGATCGGACTGGTGGCACTGCCAAAGCCCCAACCAAGCTAGAGAAGCGTCGTCGGCTGGTCGGTGAGCACGTGTGTCCATATGACGGGCACGGACGGACCTGAGGTGCGAGGGAACAAAGGAGAAAGCGTGTCCAGACTGCGAAAGTTGATTGGTATAAAAAGAATCATGTACTTCCCTTAACGAGTATATTACCCGTGCAAATGCTACGGAAGCATCTATCAATGTAAATCAAATAACCAGCGAATATCTTTTTAATAATCAAGCATAGATTGAAAAAATATTTATAATTCATGCAATAAACAATTCACAGCAACAAATATCAGCAATCCGACGGAGTACCAATGAAACCGGAGATCAGATCAGATCAACAAGCTACCAAGTGTGGAAGTAGAACACAAAAAGCAAGGAGTGGGTACCCTGATCCCTGCTGCCCATCGGCACGATGACCACCTTGTTGCAGCAGAGGCCAAGTCAGGCTGTGATCTTGTATGAAGAAACTAAAAAATAAATAAAACTGATGAAATATTCTTCGGATTTGCATATAATCTTAGGAAGCTTGAGGCAATTTGCAAGCTTCTGAAGAACAGGGCAGAAATTGTCCTCATTAGCTGAAACCTTCCGGGCACAGCCTGTTCGGTTGGCTTGTGCTTGTCGTAAACGATCGTAAATTTCCAGTCGGAACAGTATTTTTCTCTCACACAAAACCAGCCAGCACGATTTCTTCACGAACCAGCGACGAACAAGTCCAGCCAAACCAACAGGCTGAGATTGACAACATCAATGGCACAAGAGGCCCACAAATCTACACCTGCATTGAAGAAAGCTCTTGTATTGGTGGAGAAAAGCAATGACATACAGTCAAACACTTGTTTGAAGAGCTCAATAGATTCATTGTCAGTACGTGATGTGTTGCTATCAACTCTGCCCAAACCATGTGTCGGTGTTTCGGACCGGGGGTCCTCAACCAACTAGTAAATATGAACTGTGTGCCTCTAATCCCGGATGGTGATGCAAAGAGACACAATGTTTATACTGGTTCAGGCAATCGGTGCCCTACTTCCAGTCTAGGAGATCGATCTTGTATTCTTTGCACCGAAGTGCTTGTAGTAGGGGGTTACAAAAGTCGGGTGAGAGAGGAGCTAGTCCTAGGTCTCGTGTGGGAGTGGTGCGGGCTGCTTGAGTCGTTGCTCTCGATGTCCGTGGGAGCGTCATGTGAATTGAGTGAGTGCGTTTTGCGCGTGAGGACCGGCGTGGTCTCGATCTATAGAAACGGCCCTGGCTGCTTCCTTTTATAGCCACAAGGAGGGAGTCAGGAGTACATAAGAGAGCTACACGTGGAGCCTTAGCGAGGAAGGAAGATCCAAAGATCGTGGCCTATTCCTCAGAGTAAAAGACAAAGGTCGGGAATGGCAATTGGTACTTGATCACCGGTGCGCTATACCGCCATGCCCGAAATTGTTGAAGTCGTAGGGGTCCTCGTTGACGTTTAGTCGGCATGGCCTCCTCAGTAGGTGACATGCCGTGCCTTGTGAATTTTTGACTTGGTGGTTCGCCGAGGCCTGGCAGGTGTTTGTGGCCGACCGCCGCCGAGGCCTGATTTGTCGAGGCTGGAGGTGACCCGAGTACGATCGCGGCGGTCTCGATGGTCGTCGTCGCACCTTATTTAGGTGGAAAATGCAGGCGTGTGTCCGCAAAGCACGGTAGTCCCCGCACCGCCGCTGGGGAATGGTAAAAGGAGATTTGACCGCCGTCCCATCGCCCCTGTTGCTATGCCCTGCCAATTGTGGCTGACGTAGGCGCAACCAGGGGTACTTACACGGATGGGACGGCCCGCCAGAGGGGCAGTTGAGGCGGAGACGACGAGGATGTGGGACGAGCCCGGCCTCGGCCGAGGCGGAGAAGGAATAGTACGTCTGAGACCTTGCCGGGGGGTCTCGGACGAGGCGCAGAACGAGCAGTTGGGCTCTGCACGAAGCGAGAGGGCCGTCAGGTGCTCTCCTGGCTTTTTATACGCCTCTCGCGCGTGAGGGTTTGTTGGCTGAGACCCCCTCGGGTGTGAGCCTGGGTCGCGGGGCCTCAGCATATCTGCAGGAAGAGCTCTCTAGCCTCTGCCCGGAGCAAGAGGGCCATTAGGAGTTCCCCTGGCTTTTTGCACGACCTTCGCGCAACCTTTTCGTTCGGAAGGAGGGGTTTGTTTGCCGAGCCCCCTCGAGTGCGAACCTGGGTCACTGGGTCTCGGCAAAGTTGCAGGGAGAGCCCCTTAGCCTCTACGGGGAGGTTCGTTAGGGGTTCCCCCTGGCTTTTTTATACGACCCTCGCGCTTCTTTTTCGTTCGGAAGGAGGGGTGGAATATGCCAGGCTACCCTTGGTGGGCGCGAGCGGTGACACTTTCGAGGAGCTGCTATCGGGTAAGTCCGAGTGGGGCCCGTGCCCCATTCGATAAGGGTCGGCTAGCGGTCCAGAGACGCACTCCAAAAGTACCAGAGGGCTTCTCTATTGGGTCGCAGGGCCGTTCGATTGGCCTCGGGGGCTCGGTGCCTCCCTACGGTGGGATCCCATTCGGAGAACTCCCTGCTGGTCTCGGACGCAACTTTGGGCGTCCCAAGCGTTTTTCTTGCTTGGGTCTCGGCCATGTACGGGCTCGCCCGCGGTCGCCCCTGACTCTGTTGCCCTGGGGCGGCTGTCGAAACCCTCAGGGGCCCAGCCTTCGAACCCCTGGACCGTAATGGGCTCAGCATCCGGTTCCTTCACCTGAAAGGAATAGGGGGGGGGGGATATTTCCCCCATCGGTTCGACAACGGCCGGCGCGCCTTTTTAGGCGATTTCCCGGGGGAGGTGGAACGACGCCTGCTGCTGCAGCGGTCGGATGTGACGTGGCGTCAGCGGATGGGACATAATTGTTCCCGCGATTAATGAGGAAAAGGTGGACACACGGGCGGTAAAATCAGATCAGGATTAACAGCGCCGGATCTGAGGGAAACTTCCCGGATTTCATCGCCCATCCGTTTCACCTTCACCCTGCATAAATACGCAACGAGCCTCGCTCCTCCCCTCCTTACCTTGCCCGTATTAGCTTTGTCGTCTTTGAGCCGTCGCCAGAGCAGAGAGCCCCGGGAGGAAGAAAGGAAAATAGGCGAGGCAGAGAGAGAGAGAGACTCACCGTCGTAGTCGAGCCCTCCACCGCACTCATGGCCGGCGACATTGTTGTCATCGAGGTGGACCCTTGGGATCCATCCGATGTCACCGTGGAGATGCTTCAGTCGCTCATCGATGGCGGGCTCCTTCGCCCGGTGACGGACCCCAACAGGCCAGAGTGGATCGCTCCGTTGGGCGAGCCGGAGCCGAGGCCTCGTGACGGTTACGTCATGAGCTTCATGTCCTTTCACGAGCGTGGCCTCGGTGTTCCTGTGGATCGATTCATGCGGGCGCTCCCGCACTACTATGGCGTGGAGCTCCACAACTTCAACCCCAATTCTATCGCGCAAGCGGCTATCTTCGTTGCTGTCTACGAGGGGTATCTGGGGATTGCTCCCCACTGGGAGTTGTGGCTCCATCTCTTCCGGGCGGGGCATACCACCAAGCCGGCGGGCACGTCGGGCACGAGGAAGGCGGTGAGGGCCGGCGGCTGCACTCTCCAAGTGCGCCAGGACCGTCAGCACCTCTACATCCCGGCCCAACTCGCGTCATCCAACCGTCGAAGGTACACGAGCTGGTTCTACCTTCGCAACGATGACAGCGGACTTCCCCCCTACACTGGGCGGATTGTGGGGAGCTGCCTGGAGCAGTGGAAGTATGGCGTCCCGAGGGATGATCAGCCCAAGCTGCAACCGCTCCTGGAGGGGCTGCAGAGGCTACGGGACCACCACCTTACTGCGGTTGTGGTCGTGGCTGCCTTCCACAGCCGGAGGGTGCTGCCGCTGATGGCTCGACGGCGGCGCTTGTTCGAGATGAGGCTGGACGATTCGATCGCGGGCATCCGGCTGTCTGCCTCCGCCCTTTCTGACGAGGAAATTTTTCGTCGGGTGAGGGAGACAGTGGAGGTGAAGCCATGGAGCGGTGGTCTGACCGCCCTCGCGATGCGTCTGTCGCGGGGGTATCTCTCGCTGGTAAGTCGCGCGCCGCTGCATCCCCCGAGCCCTCCCCGTTTATCATTATTTCTCGTTCCCTTATGCGTGTTCGTCGTTCCTGCAGGGGATGAGGGACGTGCGAGCATCCCCGCCGCCCGTTCCTGAGGACACGAGGCGGCGGGCGATCAACCGGGTGCACGCCGAGGCACAGAAAAAATGGAAGGACGCCAAGGTGGCCAAGCGCACGAAGCAGATTCTTGCGCGCGAAAAGCTAGATGAGCGTCGTCGGCAGCAAAGGAGGGATGGCCTTCCGCTGGAGGAGTCCTTGTCGCCGTCACTATCGACGGATGCCTTGGACGGAGATGACGAGGGCGAGAGGGGGTGGGATCCCCTAGACCATCTCCCTGATGTTGAGGAGACGGCGCCCGGGGCATTGGCAAGTAGCCTGGCGCTCCCAGGAGGAGGAGGAGCCACCTCGGGGTTGGCGATTGCCCGCCTCGGGGCTGAGGCCAACATGCCCGAGGAGCGGGCATTGGGCAAGCGTGTCGTCAGCCCGGTGGGCTCGACGGCAGTGGTGGTGCAAGTGGCGGCGGAGCTGACGCAACTGCTCCCACAGAGCACCGAGGGGGCACCGGGGTCCGTCAAGGACCGGCTGGCGCCGACGGATACGGCGGTCGTGCTTCAGCCACCGCCGTCGCCTTTGTAGACGAGGGTCGCCATGCCGAAGCGGTTGCTACCCCGATCGAGGTAAGCGTACTTTAGGTGGCGCCACAACGTTTTTTGTTCGTTCCTTCATCTTGTGCTGACCCTGTAAGTATTATGTTTTTAGCCGGAAGCGACCTGTGGAGGTG